TATATATATATATATATCATGAGCTTCATTCTATACGCGCAAGCAGGTAAGGCCCATTGGTTTGGACCAGTTCTGCTTTCGAGCCTCTTCCATTGGGCCGCTTCACAGGCCTGTATCCATTAAACCTTTTCCATTTTATATGTTTCACATTATAATAAAAAAAATGTAGGAGATAAATTGTAAAATATCTATGTTTTAAGGTTTTAAAAATTATTTATGACAATCGAAACTCAAGAATGTAATGTGTGTTATAAGGTTATAAAAATTAGAAATTGGTCATGTTAGGAAAATAGTAATATTTTGTTTTACTATATTTTTATTTTTATGAGGAGAGACGGTAAAGTTATGTTTTCATAAAAATATGAGAAGCTATTTTCTAATTTAGTTATTATTTTTATTTTTATTCTAATTTTTTTTATAATTTAAAAGATATTTTTATACAATTTATTCGAATACAAATTTAAAAATATTTTTAGAGTTTATCTACTGAAAAAATATTATATATTTTTAATAGAATTTTTTTAAAATCACTTTTATCTTATATTTAAACAAGCTAATAATATAATATTATTCTCAAAATAAAATTGCATCAATTCAAACAAATGTATCTATAGACATGTAGATATTTTGTTTATAAAATAAAAGATTAATTACTTTTGTTTTCAAACTAGTGGTATACCCGTCCGAATGCACAGGTTAATTAATGTTTTTATAATTTAAATTATAATAAATAATAGTTCGAATGTAATTTTTTGTTTTTCAAAATATATCTGTAATTGTGATGACTAGTTAATTGGAATTTAAATTGATGTGTAACATACAATTAAATAATTAAAAATTGTGTCGGATATGTCACATAATAAATCAAAATTTAAGCTATTGTAAATCATCAAATAAGCATATAAAGGCATCTCAAATGGAAGCAACTCATTTGAGTTGCTTCATGCATTGAAAAATGAAAAAAAAATGGTCTCGAGTGTGTCATGTCAGTATTAAGCAACTCAAACACAAATTTACTCTAATAGTAAAAAACTTTAAGAAATTCAACTTTTAGAATTTTTTTTCTAGTCATTTATGAACTAATTTTAAATTTTTATTAAAAAGGGTAATTGTACTACAATGAAAGAAAATAAATTACGAGAAAAAAAACATAATAAGTAGATATTAAATATAAAATAAAATAATAATAAATACATAGACATTATACGAAATTAATTTTCATCATTATTATTTCCGAAACGTTCCAAAATATGTTCAATAAGATTTGCTTGAAATCTGGCAAGGAACGGTTGCTTGAGGAAGCAACTCTGTTTCTCTTTAAGCAACTCATGTTGCCACGTCAGAGTCTTTCAATGATAAGAAACCGGAACTTGAGTTGCTTCATGGGACAAGCAACTCCCATTGGAGTTGCTCTAATAACTTAAATCTGTAATATATAAAAAAAATACCTAATTTAGTATATTTATCATAAAATCACAAAATTTGTTAAAATTAATATAGTTAGATTTTTTATTATTTAATATTTCACCTGTCAACTAATTTTTTCAATCAAACATCCTAAAGAAGTAAACAACAAAACATTTTGAAAACTTAAAACACTAAATCAAATAAATTATAGTGAAGACAAAATGAAAACCTAATAAACATAATGTAATTAAAATGTCAATTTTTTAAATTTGGTCAGTTTGAAATGATAAACATAATATTTGTAATATATAAAAATGTGACATATTTATTTTGTTTATGAGATCCACTTGTTCATCTCCCACCAAAACATTAGAATCAGACATCTCAAAAAGCTTAACCAAAAAATACATCACTACACATAGTAATAAATTGTCAATCTTTTTTAACACGAGTTAAATTGTGTTTGTCATCAAGAAATGAGAATTGAATTTCATCTCCGCTAACAAACTTATTTTCTTACAAAACTCCTTCTAACCTTTTCCCAATTTTGATAGACACTACTAGAAAAGTGTTATTTTTTTGCAAATTTTCTTGCAAAAAAATATTTGCAGAAAATTTTTGCGAATTTTCCTGCAAAAAAATATTTGCAGAAAATTTTTTGCGAATTTTCCTACAAAAAAATATTCGCAGAAATTTTTTGCGAATTTTCCTACAAAAAATAATTTACAGATATTTCTTACAAATTTTGCTACAATTTTAATAATCATGGAAAAAAAAATTTCATGGTAAAAATTTGCAGAAAATATTGTAAGAATTTTATTTTGTTTCTTGCAGATTTTCTTGCAAAAATAAATTTGCAAGTAATGTTTACTAAATGGTAGAAAAATTTTGCAGGTAACTTTTCCTGCGGATTTTCTTGCAAATTTTAATTCGCAGGAAAAATAAAAAATATATTTAAATTAATAAGATTAATATTTTAATAAATCTTCAAGTCCCACATCGATTGAAAATAAAACAATTAAAGAGTATATAAGTTGGAATAACACTTACCTTACAAGTTGAATTGTATGGTTGAGTGTTAGACTTGTAATCTACAATCTTAGAATTTAAAAGATTATGTATGAGGCATTAAAATAAAAGATTATGAATTCTTAAAATATAGAATTTATAATAATTTTTTTTAATTTTTTCGTAAAAAATATTCCTGCAGAATTTCTTGCGAAAAAATTCGCAAGAAAGTTTCCTGCGAATTTTCCTGCGATTTTTTTTTTTGCAGGAAAATTTCCTGCAAATTTTTTTTTGCAGGAAACTTTCCTGCAAATTTTTTTCGCAGAAAATTTCGCAAGAAAATTTCCTGCGAATTTTAAAATTCGCAAAAATATATTATCCACGAAGGTATTACTTGCAAATAAAATTTCGCAGAAAAATTTGCAGGAACAACGTTTCCTGCAAATTTTTATAAAAAATTCGCAGGAAAAGTTGCATGTAATAAGAGAAATTCT